TTCATTACCAAACTAGATAACAACATCAGTGCTAGAAGGGAATGGGGTTTGCAAAGAAGAAGAAGAGAAGGAGAAGGAGGATACCCTAAATAAACTACAGTTTAGGGAAATGGCCCCCAACCCTATCTATCTATCTATCTATCTATCTATCTATCTATCTATCTATCTATCTATCTATCTATCTATCTATCTATCTTCTCTCTCTCACTAGGATCCACCCATCCATCCATGGTATCTATCTATCTATCTATCTATCTATCTATCTATCTATCTATCTATCTATCTATCTATCTATCTATCTACCTACCTACCTATCTATCCATCCATCCATCCATCCATCCATCCATCTTATCTATCTATCTGCGAAATACCACTCATGCATCATCACAAAGTCTCCAGAACCGTCAAGCCTACAAACTTGAAATCTGGCACCTATGTTCCTCTTGGCTTCTAGGGGCTCACTAAGAAAGGATTTTTCGAAATGACCATCAGAGCATTTAGTATTTCCTATATTATTATTATTAACACGCTCTGATGCTAAGGAGTTCTACTCCCCCTCCCCACCTGGAAAGAAATCTCTTCCAAAGGCAAAACACAAGCAGAGGAGAGGAGTTTCAGTTTCATTTCACAGCACCAAGCAGCTTTAGTACAGGACAGTTGAGCTAAGCACGCCCAGGCTCCTCGCTGTCTCCTTCTTGCTCACGCAGCAAATGCTGCTTCAGTTTCCATGTTTCAGTTTCCAAACAGCCCTCAACTCTCTCACATACTGACAGGACGATAATGATGGATGCTGGTGGGCAGAGGCACCATTTCCTCCTCCTTATTTTCCTCCCCCAAAACTAAGCCCTATCACATAGTTCTGTAGAGAAGCACCGGTATCGAGCTAGCTTATTGTAACTTTTGCCAGTTTGAAGGACTGCATTGGTTAGCAGGTGGCAGCATCTGCAAGCTTTTCTTTTGTTAAAATTGCAAAGCAAAAAATTGCATTTAAAAGAATAGAGCCTGGCTTGAAATGAAAAGCACCCCCAAAATTTTTCACCTGCCCCATAAAAGGGAACCCCAAAAGCAAAGCGATGCAATGATTTCTCTTGCCCATTGTTCCGATTCTGTGTTTATTAAGAGCTAAGCCTTTTCTGTTCAATTAAGCCTTTTTTTGAGTGCAATTCTTAGTGTTTTTCCCATGTTTTAAAATGGGATTTTAACTGATTTATGCATTTTGCCATCATCTGCTTTGGGTGGGGCTGCAGTGTATCGGGGTAGATTGTAAATTGCCATTATAAATTCAACACACTCCCTCCAGAAATCTTCAATCATCCACAGCCAGCACAATCGAAGTGGTTCTACGTCGCTATTTTTTTTAACTTGTCAAATTTAAGATTTGTGTGGATTTCAATTCCTAGAATTTCCCCAGCCAGCATGTGTTCTAGGAGTTAACAACATCCACACATCTTAAAAGTTGCCAGATTTGAAAAATACGGATTTGTGCCATCAAGCTTAGACAAAACAAGGCAAACTTTTCAGTCGAGATCAGCTAAAAGCTATTTGTGATAGAAAGAATGATATTATTAAACCTATTCTGGCTTAATCTATGATTTACAGAACCACACTTTGTAGATTCGCAGAGTAAAGTGTAATCTGGCCATCAGTCCTGAGGTCTGGAAGTTAGTGAGATCATCAGTATGAGTTTCTTGTTTTAATGATTGAAGTTGGGTGTGGTTTAGCCATCATTAATTCTTATTTGTGTGTGTGTGTGTGTGTGTGTGTGTGTGTGTGTGTGTGTCTACTGATTTGGCTAGTTGCACTGCCTGGAGTCTCATTTGGAAAGTAGATTAATATTAACATAACTAATAACTGGTTTCAGTTATAATTAATATAAATTGATATTGTATAATAAATTGTAGGTAACGGGTTTCAATCCTGACTTGTTTGTGGTTTAATGTGTTGTGCAAACATGCCTATTTTTTGCCTCACTCAGTACAGTAATTATTAAACTAAAGAAATTAAAATATTACAGAAATTCCTGCACTTTTTTCAGAAATGTGTGTTACACCAGAGTACATAATGCAAGGTTAATTATGAAAACCTGCTTTAATCTTGGTTTGTAAGAACATGGCTAATGAAATCGATGACATAAAGGGTTGCAAGCTCACCAACTACCAAGTAGTCGAGTGCACACTCTGCCACTAGGGCCTTTTTCTGACAAATCATGATTAAGTCAACAAGTTGCATCAAGTCTAGCAGGAAACAAGCCTCTCATCCAATCTGCAGTTTGGCTGGCTTGCTTTGGCTCGGCATATTGGGCGAACCCGGACAATACGGCTTGCCAACCACGAATCATAGCTTGTTCATGGTTTATTCAATAAGCCAGGGTTAAGGTGAGGCTAGTTTAGCGCCCCCTGGAAATCTGGACTCTTTCTGCCAACTTTTGCGCAGTCCAGAAGTTCCAGAGGGGGAGGGGCAGAGGGGAGAAGGCGCCATTGGCCGGCGGCCCCCGCCATTCAGCGAGAGGGCGGGACGAAGGGCCGGATTGGCAGCGCGGGCGACCTAAGGCGCGGCGGCGGCGTCCCAGGCGCGGCGTCCCAATGTTGGCGGCGGAGGGCGGGCGCGGCGGCGGCTCGTCCAATGGGCGCGTCCGGAGCGCCGCCGCCGCCGCCGCCGTCGTCCCTGAGGGGGCGGCCAGGGCTCAGAGCCGCGGCGGCGGCGGCGGGGCTGGCGGGCGGAGGCTGCGCGCCGACGGGATGGGCTCGCCGGAACCCCGCGCCCCGCTGGCCGCCCAGGACGACGACGAGGCGGCCGAGGCGGCGGAGCACGAAGGAGGCGAGCTGGACTCGCGGAGCTCGGCGGGCGACGCGGGCGGCGGCGGCGGCGAGCGGCGGGTCGACAAGTTCGGCTTCCTGGTGGCCGACGGGCAGGACGCCGGGGACCCTCCGGAGGCGCCGTGAGTGGCCGGGCGGGGGAGCTGGGCGCTCTGCCCATGGGCAGGGGCCCTCTCGCCCTCAGCGGGGCTGCCCTTCGGGGCGGGGAGGGCGGCGCTCTTGACGCGGGCAGAAGCCCTCTCGGCGGCGGCGGTGGTGGTGGGGCGCTGGTGGAGGGACACTCCGGCCATGGGCAGGGCTGCTCTTCGGTGGGTGGCACTCTGGCCATGGGCAGGGGCACTCTCGCCAGGGGGAGAAGTGCTTGGGTGGGGGCTGGAGGGGCGCTCTTGCCATGGGCAGGGCTGCAATTCAGTGAGTGGCACTCTGGCCATGGGCAGGAGCGCTCTTGGAGGCTGGGGGGGGGCACTCCTGCCATGAACAGGGCTGCTCTTCAGTGAGTGGCACTCTGGCCATGGGCAGGGGCACTCTCGCCAGGGGGAGAAGTGCTGGGGGGGGCGCTCTTCCCATGGGCAGGGCTGCTGTTCAGTGAGTGGCACTCTGGCCATGGGCAGGGGCACGCTCACTATCAAGACTGGTGACGGTGGCACTCTGGCCATGGGCAGAAGTGCTGAAGGGGTTTGGAAAGGCACTCTTGGCATGGGCAGAAGCACTCCTGGGCATTGGAGAGGCACTTTTGCCATGGGCACTCTCGCTATCTGGGCTGCTCCTTGGTGAGCATCAAGTGGCACTCTTGCCATGGGCAGAAGTACTCATGGGGGTTGGAGGGGCACTCTAGCCGTGGGCAGGGGCACTGTTGAGAGAGAGAGAGAGAAAAAAAATGGGGGGATAGTGGGCTCTCCATATATGGGCAGGGGCCCTCTTGTAAGAGAGAACATTTTGCAAGAGCCCGAGGGGTCCGGAGGGCACTCTTGCCATGGACTTTGGCCACCTTTTCTCCAGACTCTGCCTAAGCCGGCTTAGTCTGGCCTTGGGGGCGGCTCTCTCTCCCCTTGCCTAGAATCCCACTTCTCTTTAACAAGCCAGCTTTAAACCATCGTGTAGTTTAGATCAGGGGCCTCCGACTTCTGCAACTTGAAGAAAAGGGTGGACTTCAACTCCCAGAATTCCCCAGCCAACCAGCCACAAATCCACATGCTGGCTCGGGAATTCTGGGACTTGAACAGTCTTCAAGTGGCCGAAGGTCAGACAGCCCTGGCTTAGACCTAGGGCGAAGGCACTCTTCCCATGCTCAGGCGCATTCTCCTTTCCCAAGCTTGTATTCTGTTCTCTCTGAGCCCCGATTTAAAGTGCTTTGCTATTTCCTGAACTCAAGAAAAGCAAGGAAACTTAGATCGCGTGACATCAAACTCAACAGATTCAAGCGTGTTGTGCGAATGGGTGAATTTGGTAACCTGGTTATAAAAAGCAGTAACTAAGCTAAGGCGGTCAGACGATTACATCTTGGCTTGGCCTTCTTTTAGCCTTTCCAAAGTTAGCCGGTTTGTTTATTTTATTTCTAACAGCAACTCCACAAATGTGAAATGCGGTACGTAAAAAACACTGAGTTTTGTTTTTAGTTAAAGAACTGAAAAATAGAGAAGGGAAAAAAAGATCTCAACCAACAAAAACACCGAAGAGAGAAAAACAAAGTTACTTTTAATAAGAGATGGCCAATAAAGGAAGTTTTAGTGTGGTCTTAATGGGGGAAGGGAGAAAAAGGTTGCCTTGCTTAGCAAGGCTTTATTTGTGTATATGTTCACACGTGTGTGTGTGTGTGTTGGGGATTATGTGACAGAGCAAGAGGTTGAGTTTGAACTGCTTGTTGATTTATGAAACTCACTCAAAACATTTTGAGTAAGTTTTCGTTTCGGGACTTGGTTTGCAAGCTGTGATTTTGAAACATATGGAGCTGTGCCCCGGTGGGAAAAAGTGGGCCTTCGTTGCTTTCTGTTTCTTTTCCGGCCTTTCCATATTGGGGGGGAAAAAAAGGACTTACTCTTGAGTAAACCTTGCTGTAAACCTGCTTTTTTGGCAGTACCAATTCCTGGGCTGGCACCAAACATGCTAAGAGAACCTGGAGAGGCAGGCATGGGAAATGATTAATATTCCACTGACATATGTATTTTTTTTTTTAAAGATTAATCACACGAGGAACTAGGTATACCTGTTCTGTGGAGCCCTTGTGCAATTGTGCAAAAACAGTTGTGCGTTCAACTTTCTTTCTAGCCCTTCCTCCCTTTAAAACCAACTCTCTGGTTTGGTAGGCTGGGCATATGGGGGTGTAAATCCTTTGGGGCTGGCTGTTGGAATGGAGAATTAAGGAATTCGGTTGGTTTAGGACTGCTTTCCTCCTTAATAATAAAATAAGGTGATTTTATTTTATTTTTTGGTTCCCTGTCTGCTGTTATCCTAAGTTCTGGATGACTTGCTTTGGGAGGGAAATTGAAGGTTCCAGCTGTTATCTGGCTGTGTGTTTTGTTAATGATGCTTTTCAGGAAGAGGAACAGGTTGTGATGTTAAAACAGCAATTTTCCAGGCGAAGAAAATGAATAAAAATCATTTTCAGGACGTGGCAAGGTTTTGTCCAGCTGGCTGAAAGTAAAAAAAAGGAAGAGAAGAAACAGTGGTGTGGATTAACAGATATAACAGATTATCAGAGTTGGAAGGGACCTTGTAGGTCATCTAGTCCCCACCCAGGCGGGAGACCCTGCACCATTTCTGACAAAGGGCAGTCCAATCTCTTCTTGAAAATTGTGTGAAACAGAAGTCAGAACTGGTCCTTGACTTGCATCCGTTCATTTAGTGACCATTCGAAGTCAACGACGCTGAAAAGTGGTTTAGGACTGTTTTTTTCCTTGCTCTTACAACCCCTTCCAGCATTCCCACGCTGACTTGATCAAAATTCAGGCATTTGGCAACTGACTTGTATTTATAACGGTTGCAGTATCATGGGATCCACTTCTGCGACCTTCTATGGGGAAGCCAGATTCACTTAACAACCGTGGAACTAATTTAACAACTGCAGTGATTCATTTAACAACTGTGGCGAGAAGAGTTGTAAGACGGGGCGAAAGTCACTTCCCGGTTGTCTCACTTAGCAACGTTAATTCTGGGTTTGTTTGTGGTTGTAAGCGGAAGGAAGGAAGGCAGGCCTGAAGTTTAAGAAGAAAACAGGGAAGGAAGGAAGGAAGGAATTAGGGAAAGGGGAAAACACTTCTGGCGTGTTTTGGAAGCTTTTATGAAAACCCGCCCAGGTGCCAACAGCATGGCTGGCTTTCAGGAGCCTCTTGTATTATCGGATTAAAGGTTGTGTGTTTTCATGCTGTCTTCTAGATATTTATTTATTTTTCTTCTTCCCTCTCACCTGCTAGCAAGGCAAATTTCCCTTAGTGCTCCATTTAAATACCCTGGAAACAAACAAACGCAAACAAAAATTAATCATAGTGTTTCCTTCAACTGAGTGCTGACAAGGCAACAACTCAGCTGCAATTAGAGCTCAGGTTTAAAGGCTAACCCAGATTGTGACTGTTTTCTCTATTGAAGCCCAAGTCCAGGATAGAGAGGGGCCAGTCTCTTCCCCCCACCCACAAATACAAGCAGTATTTGCAACTCCCACTCTTTCGTTGAGTGACCATTCGAAGTTACAACAACAGTGGAAAAACCATAATGAAAAATGATTATAATACCTTATAATCATTTTTCACACAGCCATTTCAGCATCAGCATCCTAACGACCCCATAATCCCTTCCGGGGTGGAGTCTGGGCACCTGAATGGAGCTGTGTGTTTTGCTGGCCGGATGCCCTTCCTGTTGCCAATGCGGAGTTTTGTTCCGCAGGTATATTCTCATGTGGCCGGAGAGAGAAATATCTGCCTTTATCTAGGATCGAACCCATAGCTTCCTCATCACACAGCCATTTCAGCCATCCCCGTGGTTAAAATTCAGATACTCAGCAACCGGCGTCAAGAAAGGTTATAATGCGGTCTCGGTGAGCGACAGAAGTTTGGGGCTCCATTGTGGTCATAATTCGAGGTCTACTTGCAATTGAATTTCTAGCCACTCTAGTTGCAAATGCAGGCTTCGAAAACCAACCACCCCCAACTGGGGGAATGTTTATGGAGAATCTCAGTCATCCATGTCACAGTTGCCCCCAAAGATGCTTTTTCAAGAGGCAACTCTTGAATTTCTGGGTTTTCTCTTTTTTTTTTTTTCAAATGGCCAGCTGTCTGCAAGGAATATAAATCCTTCCCATTCCCCACCATCCAAGTCAGAGCCGAAGAAGCTTCTTCGGGAGAGGAGTAAAACGTCTTCAAAACAAAAACGAAACCAGTCTAGTCGCCTCTTGTTAAAAAAAGCAACTTTGGGCCAACGGGATGAAATTTGCAAAGCTGCATCCGAGATATTTCTTCCCTTTAACGGCTCATTATTTTTCGTTTTCAAATTCGAAGCTCAAAAGCGCATTGCCGGGTAGTTCGGCCGTGCCTCTCTTGTGCCCGAGAGAAATTCAGTGTTCCTCCTCCTGACCTTAATTGGTTGCTTTTGCATTCCTGGGGCACCACGCACCAAATTTATCCCTTTCCCGTCTGCTGAAGAAGGCCAGAGGTTTACAGCTGCTGCTGCTTCCCGTTCCTTAAACCGGAAGGGATTCCATTCCAGATGCTTTGGCATCTCCCCTTGAAATCCGGTTTGGCTCCGGTGTGTATTTTGTTTCCAGGAAAGAGAGTGACAAAAGGGCCAGAGAGAGCAAGCAAAACAAAAAAGACGATGGGGACGAGCGGAGGATAAATGCATCCTGCTTGGAGAGCTGCCTGGAGTTTGGGAGACTTTTGAACGCCTGAACGGATTAGGACAGGATTAGGGAAGAGGAAAAGAGCGAATACGGACATGTCTTCGTCTTGCTGGACTAAGGGGGGAAAGTCCAAGATATTTTTGTTGCGGTGGTTGTAGAGAAGAATTTGCAGGCACCACTGAGCCCAGAACATTGGGGGTTAAGCGAAACGTTGGTTAATGGAATTTTTTGTCCCGTTTTACGGCCTTCCTTGCAGGAACTGGGTTTAATGAAAAGAAGGACTAGGGGCGACAT